GGAAAAAGCCGAGCGGAGTCAGATGCAACATTGCTTTTTGTTGGGAATTGCCTTTGCAGCCTCCAGCCACTGTCCAACAACCGCTGCACGTCTGGGAGGGAGGGAGGACATCCCTGTCCCTATCCCTGTCCCTGTCCCCATCCTATGTCTGCAGACCTCTCCCCTCCATTCATCTGCCAGTGCCAGGCAGGGAAACTCCAGGCCAGCCCTGGCTGGGTTTGGAGGAAGAAGATGGAACAAAGTCCAAAAAAATTGTGCAGGATTTGGGGGAGAAGCAAGCGACTAGAGGGCAGCAAAGCTCCAGGCCGGGATGCTGCTGGGGAAGGCAGCGGGGTGCTGGGGGACCCCTGCGCCCACAGGCTGGGGGTTTGGGGTGCTGCAAACCCTGCGGTGGGGGGGGAGGCAAGCGGGGACCTCCCGGTGCGGCTGGAGGGACACGACCCCGGCCCTGATGCCCCATGAGTGGGATGTGCCCCCTTCCTCCCCCCCCCCAAGAGTTGGTGCTGCACGCCTGGACCCGCAGCCCCTCGGTCCCAGGGATGCTTTAAAGGTCAGCGGCAAAACCTGCAGCTGGAGGAAAATCTGCTGTAAAGCCTGAGCTGCTCCGCGGTGGATTCATGGCATTTGTGGGCAGACGTTAACAGCTACAAATTTTGAAAGCAAACATTTGGGAATCTGTTCTTGTTTTTGTGTTTCTGTCGGTTCCCCGGTGCGGGGTTGTGTGTTTCCTCTGCAACAACCGATGGCTGCGCTGACACATCCCCGTCCCCGTCTCCATCCCAGGCTTGCTCAGGGGCTCCAGCACCGCTCCGGGAGGGTCCTGCCCTCGGAGCCTCGCAGGTGAGAGGAGCAAGCCTGGCTTTTTCCAGGAGATTGCTTGGTTTGGTTTTTTTTTTTTTTTCCCTAGCTTATTTTTATAAATAGCAGCCCCAGAACGATCTGTTCCTTTTATTTATTTGTGTATTAAGTGGAGTGAATTTTAGTCCTGGCAGAAGATGCTGCGTTGATGGCTCTAATAACCAAGAGCTCCCGTCTGTCCCAGCCCCAGCGAGCATGTGCCCCTCTGCTTGCAGCCCACAACCCTTGGGGGGTTTTGGGGCCATGGGCTGTGCCCAGGCTATGCTGGTGCCCTGCGAGGTGGGGAGGGAGGTGGGCAGAAGGGGCTGTGCTGGCCTCGAGCTCTGCAGACCGCCGGGCACCGCAGGGTACGTCCCTGTCCCCTGTGTTAGTGCTGGCCAGGGTCATGTGTGTTCCCACGTGCAGTGACCGTGGCTGTGGGGACCCCCCAGCCTGTGTGCCATGTGGGGCTAAAGCCACAGTCCCCTCCTCAGGCTGTGCGTCAGCTCCTACCGACAGTTGGTTTCTGGCCTCTCTAACCAGAAGATGCTCAGGCTTCTGCTAAATGCTCAGTGAGACCAGTGGTGATGGCTCCATGGATCATGGAATCATGAATCATGGAATACCAGGTTGGAAGGGACCTCAAGGATCATCTGGTCCAACCTTTCTGGGCACAAGTGCAGTCTAGACAAGATGGCCCAGCACCCTGTCCAGCTGAGTCTTGAAAGTGTCACATGGATCACACAGGAGTGTTCAGAGTTGGGAGCCTCTCGGCTCCAGATGTGTTGGGACACGACAGGCCCCATTCCTGCCTTGCTCAGGGCCACCTAGAAGTCTCCTAAATTCCAGCTTCCTGCTCAAACCATTACCCCAGGTAGTCTCCCATAGGGAGGCACAAGTTCTGCATCCCCATCGCCCCATCCCTCTATTGCACCACAGTCCCCTGCACCACCACGCCTTGGTTGACATTTTCTGCTCACCGTTGATTTGGTTCCCTTGAAGGTAGAGGTTCTCGAGGTTGGTGTTGACCCGGGGGATCTTCTGGAGCCTGTTGTAAGAGAGGTCCAGCTCAAGGATGCTGCTGCTGTTGAAAGTGTTGGTAGAGAGACCTTGATTGGTCAGGCTGTTGTGGGACATCCGTACATAGAGCAGCTTGGGAGAGACCTTGAAATAGTCATCAGGGATGGTGTTGATGTAGTTGTACTCTAGGTAGAGCTGTTCCAAAGCCATTGGGAGCCCATCAGGGACTTTCCTGAGGTGGTTGTAGCTCAGATCAGCAAGGATCAAGGACTTGAGCCCTTTGAGGGATGCTCCCATCTCAAAAATGTAGTTGTGGCTGAGGTACAGGGCTGTGAGGTTCTCCAGACCCTCCAGAGCATTGGAGGGGACCTTGGAGATCTGATTGTAAGATAAGTGGAGCTCTCTCAGGGACCGGGGCAAGGGGCCGGGCATCTTGGTTAGGTTGTTGTTGTTCATGTACAATCTCTCCAGGTTTTTGAGCTTGGCAAAGACCCTTTTGCCCATCTTCTCACTGGTGATCTGGTTGTTGTGCAGTGCAAGCCATTCCAGCTCCGTGGCATTGTCAAAAGCCCCCTCTTGGATGGCGGTGATCTGGTTGTTCTGGAAGTAGACGTATTTCATCCGGGAAGGCACGAAGGGCAAGTACCTCAGGTTACGGGTGTCACAGTACATGGCTGATGAGAAGTTAGGGGGGCAATCACACTCTTGGGGACATTGCCAGGAAGGAGCTTGCTGAGGTTCAGGGCCAGGCTCTGGCTCCGTGTCTGGAGCTGGGAGGTAAGAGTACACATAAGGGGTGTTCTCATCCTCGTAGTAGGGCATGTAGTTATAGGAGGACATACGGGACTGCCGCATATAGTACTGTAACCAAGCCATGTCTTCTTCTTCATTGTACTGGCCCAGGGAGGCTCCACAGAGCCCAGCGATGATCAGGACGGTGGCCCAACGCATGGTGCTGATGCTGGAGGGACCTGGGGCAGGGGAAGAAATGGGGGGAAACCATCAGCAGTGTCAGGTCTGATGTAAGGGTAGAGGCGGGCGAGCTGCACCCAATGGCCTGGGAACCCAGCGGGGTTGGATGTGGTTGCAGCCCTGCCTGGCACTTGGCAGCAGAGCTGGAGAACCAGAGGTGAATCCAACCCAAAAAACCATGGCCGCAGCCATGTCCCCTGTTTGCAGTTACCTGATCTTCCCCTTTTTCACCTCAGGCCTGCTAGAAACCTCCATCCTAGTGGATATTTGCTTGCAAAATCTGTACTTACAGGTATTTCTCTTACAACTGAGTAGAGGATGGAGCTACGGGCACGTGGTCCGAATTTGTGTAAGGTCACGCAGCTCTGCCCTGAGGAGGTGCCCGGGATTCACCTGCGCTGGCTTTGCATGGGAGGGAGGAGAAAGGACCGGGCCACTCTCCAGCCAAGCGGAGGAGAAGGGGAGCTGCGAGAACTCAAGGCTTGTTTCGACGGAGCTATATTTATGCTACGCTCACTGGCGACACGATTTGCCGTGGGTTTCATCCAGCTCTCCCTTCCCCCACAGAAGCGCAGGATGCTCGTGCTGCTCGGGACTGATGTAAATTCTGGTAAACAAGTTCTGGCTTATTTTTGAAATGAAACCCCTTTCAAGCTTAGATTTCCTGAGCTCAGCCCCGACACAAACAGGGGCAGCATCCCCCAGCCCCTCGAGGCCAGCATGACCAGGGAGAGAAGGAGCCAGACCTAGGGCTTGGACCCTGCTTGTGAAATTCAGCCAGCCAAGGGCTGACAGCCAAAAGGGAGCAGGGCAGAGGGCTCAGAGTAAGGCAGACCTGCCCCGAGCCCCTTGGCTTGGCGTGGGCTTCGCAGCCACCTGGTGCCGTGCCCAGGCCAGCATGCTGGTGGCAAGAGGACTCCAGCTTACGGCCGTTCATCCCGACTCCTCGTCTCGGTGCTAAAGGAGCACACAGAGTGGCCTGGAGCGAAGCAGCTTGAAATGCCTCCAGGAAATCCGTGGGGCCATGCTGTTTGGAGGGGGAGAGGAGTCGCTCCTGCCTGCTGGCTCCTATATACGTGGCTGGGAGCGCAGAGCTGTGGGGCTGCTGGTGCATCGCTGCCAGCTCCGCTCCGGCAGCCGCGACGTGGGCAATGCGCAAGCACGGGCCAGCGTCCCTCCTCGCCGTGC